TCGTGGACTGAGGGAGGGGCTTGTCAGTAATATCAAGTATACATTGTTTTGGATTGCAGTTTTGGGTTCGAAATTCTCTTTCAGTTATTTCCTGCAGATCAAGCCTCTTGTTTCCCCGACGAAGGCTCTCTTGGACATAAAGCATTTCGATTACAAAATACATTTGTTTTTTGGCAGCGGGAATAGAATAGCAATCGTGTTTTTGTGGATCCCTGTTGTGTTGATGTACTGTATGGATTTGCAAATATGGTTTGCCATTTACCAATCCTTAATTGGTGCAACAATTGGGCTGTTTTCACATTTGGGCGAGATCCGAAATATAAAACAGCTAAGGCTTAGATTTCAGTTCTTTGCCAGTGCATTGCAATTTAATCTTATGCCAGAGGAGGAGTCCTTACGTCCTGAGGTGACGGCGGTGAAGAAGCTCCGTGAGGCCATCCACAGACTGAAACTGCGTTATGGACTTGGTCAAGCTTACAAGAAAACTGAATCCAGCCAAGTTGAAGCTACCAGGTTTGCCTTGATATGGAATGAAATCATGACAACTTTCAGGGAGGAAGATCTCATTAGTGATCGAGAACTTGAGCTCTTGGAACTGCCACCTAATTGCTGGAACATTAGGGTTATTCGCTGGCCATGTTGCCTCCTCTGCAATGAACTATTGCTTGCTCTGAGTCAGGCAAAAGAGATGGGAGAGGAACATGACCTGTTGCTTTGGTTGAAGATATGCAAGAATGAGTATCGGCGGTGTGCTGTCATTGAAGCTTATGACAGCATCAAGTATCTTCTGCTTCACATGGTTGTTAAACATGGCACGGAAGAAAATTCCATTGTTAAAAATTTTTTCATGGAGATAGATCAATGTATTCAGACTGCGAAGGTCACGGTTACATACAAGATGTCTATGCTTCCGCAGATTCATGCTAAGTTGATTTCCCTTATTGAGCTTCTAATGCAACAAAAGAAAGATGTAAGCAAGGTTGTGGATGTTCTGCAGGCCTTGTATGAACTTTCTGTTCGTGAGTTCCCGAGGGTGAAGAAGACCATGGACACCTTGAGGATGGAAGGCTTGGCACCTCGTAGATCAGCCGCTGATGCTGACTTTCTTTTTGAAAAGGCAGTCAACTTTCCTGATGATGAGGATGCGGTCTTCTTTAGGCATCTGCGTCGACTGCATACAATTCTCACTTCTAGAGACTCAATGCACAATGTCCCAATGAATCTTGAGGCGAGGCGACGTATCGCTTTCTTTAGCAATTCTCTTTTTATGAATATGCCCCGTGCTCCCTATGTTGAAAAAATGATGGCTTTCAGCGTGCTGACTCCATACTACGATGAGGAAGTGTTGTATGGAAAAGAAGCTCTTCGAAGTGAGAATGAAGATGGCATCTCCACCCTCTTTTATCTGCAGAAGATTTATGCAGATGAGTGGACGAACTTTATGGAACGGATGCACAGACAGGGCATGGAGAATGACGACGAAATCTTTCAAACGAAGGCAAGGGATCTCCGTGTTTGGGCATCGTTCAGAGGCCAGACATTATCTCGCACTGTTAGAGGAATGATGTACTACTATAGGGCCCTTAAGATGCTTGCATTTCTTGATACTGCATCTGAGATGGACATAAGGGATGATGGATCGCAGCAAGTTGGTTCTCATGTTTTGAGAAGCCAAAGTAGTGGTTTGGATGGTATACAGTCAGGCATGACTCATTCTTCTCGGAAACTTGGAAGAACAAGTAGCAGCGTTAGTTATTTATTCAAGGGGAATGAACATGGGATTGCTATGTTGAAGTTCACATACGTGGTTGCCTGCCAAGTATACGGGCAACACAAGGCGAAGGGAGACTACCGTGCTGAGGAGATCTTATATCTTATGAAAGACAATGAGGCCCTTCGAGTTGCCTATGTTGATGAGGTTCACTTGGGGAGGGACGAGGTTGAGTATTACTCTGTCCTTGTTAAATATGATCAGGAGACGCAAAGGGAGGTTGAGATCTATCGGATTAGGTTGCCTGGTCCACTGAAGCTTGGGGAAGGCAAACCAGAAAATCAGAACCATGCCATAATCTTCACAAGGGGTGATGCAATTCAGACCATTGACATGAACCAAGACAATTATTTTGAGGAGGCACTCAAAATGCGGAATTTGTTGGAGGAATTTAAGCACTTCTATGGTATAAGGAAGCCGACTATCTTGGGTGTCCGTGAGAATATCTTCACTGGTTCTGTGTCGTCTCTTGCTTGGTTCATGTCTGCTCAGGAGATGAGTTTTGTGACCCTGAACCAGCGTGTTCTTGCAAACCCTTTGAAGGTGCGAATGCACTACGGTCACCCAGATGTGTTTGACAGATTCTGGTTCTTGCCTCGGGGTGGTATTAGCAAGGCTTCTAAAGTGATCAATATCAGCGAGGACATATTTGCTGGCTTCAATTGTACATTGCGAGGTGGCAATGTGACTCACCATGAATATATACAGGTGGGCAAGGGGAGGGATGTCGGGTTGAATCAGATCTCGATGTTTGAGGCTAAGGTTGCTAGTGGCAACGGTGAGCAGGTTTTAAGCAGAGATGTGTACCGGCTGGGTCATAGATTGGACTTCTTTCGAATGCTTTCATTCTTCTACTCAACTGTTGGGTTCTACTTTAACACGATGATGGTGATACTGACTGTTTATTCATTCTTGTGGGGCCGCCTTTTTCTTTCTCTCAGTGGCATCGAAAAAAAGACAAGCACCAACAAATCGCTTGGTGTGATCTTGAACCAGCAGTTTATTATCCAGCTAGGTCTCTTCACTGCCCTCCCAATGATTGTCGAAAACTCTCTTGAACAGGGTTTCCTTCGAGCAGTTTGGGATTTCTTAACAATGCAGTTGCAGCTTGCATCAGCTTTCTACACATTCTCAATGGGCACTCGTACTCACTTCTTTGGCCGTACTATTCTTCATGGGGGTGCAAAATACCGAGCAACTGGACGTGGTTTTGTGGTCGAACACAAGAGCTTTGCTGAGAACTATCGACTCTACTCTCGAAGCCATTTTGTGAAGGCAATTGAGCTCGGGATCATTTTAATAGTGTATGCTGCTCATAGCTCTGTTGCGGATACTTTTGTTTACATTGCCATGTCAATCTCAAGCTGGTGTCTCGTATTGTCGTGGATAATGGCACCATTTGTGTTCAATCCTTCAGGATTTGACTGGCTGAAAACTGTATATGACTTTGATGATTTTATAAACTGGTTATGGTATTCTGGGGGTGTGTTTACGAAAGCTGAACAGAGCTGGGAAACATGGTGGTACGAGGAACAAGATCATCTGAGAACAACTGGTCTTTGGGGAAAGCTGTTGGAAATTATTCTGGATCTTCGTTTCTTCTTCTTCCAGTATGGTGTTGTGTATCAACTGAAGATTACTAATGAAAATACAAGCATAGCTGTTTACTTGTTATCTTGGATATACATGGTAGTGGCTGTTGGAATCTATATAGTCCTAGCATATGCTCAGGACAAATATGCAGCAAAGGACCATATTTACTACCGGCTAGTTCAGCTTACTGTCATAATTGCCTTAGTACTCGTAGCCGTGTTGCTGATTGAGTTCACTAAGATCAGTTTTCTTGATTTCATCTCAAGTCTCTTGGCATTCATCCCTACTGGCTACGGTATAATCTTAATAGCTCAAGTACTCAGACCTTTTCTGCAGTCTACGGTGGTGTGGGATACTATTGTTTCGTTGGCCCGACTGTATGATTTGATTTTCGGAGTAATTGTTATGGCTCCTGTGGCACTGCTGTCATGGTTACCTGGATTTCAGTCAATGCAGACTAGGATCTTGTTCAATGAAGCGTTCAGCCGGGGTCTTCAGATATCTCGTATTCTTTCCGGCAAAAAGTCCCAATGAGATGCATTCAGAGGTAGTATTTCGATTCCATTTTCACTCGTGCTTGTGTGCTCCTTCTCCGGAGTCCATGACCGCCGTAAACCCTACGGTATCTAACTGGATTGCATTCTGTTTCAGGTCACGATTCTTCCATTGGTGAATTCAGCTGCTGATCTGCACTAATCAGCACATCTTTCCTCCTCTTCTGATGCTCCTGTGTTCAATTTGCGAGTCTCCGAATCTTTTCGGGCTAGAGATTTTGTAATGAAGCAGGGTAATTCTAGTAATTCGAGTGATTAGTTGTTAAGGATCTGGTTGTGTAAATATTTGTTCATATCTAGCGTAGCTTCTGTTCTATGCTAGGTAGCGTATTTAAAGCAATCTTAATGCAATTTCCCACCTATCACTTTTTCTATTCCTCTCTCAAGTCTCAACTGGAACAGAATTTATATTCTTTTTAGTCACAGAAAAGTACCCCAAATTCATCCAAGTCTCATTCTTGATAAGCACTTACATGGACTGGATTTACCGTCACGTGGTGTCCCTTGTTAAATATTTCATTGCCATGTGCAAGTTTTTATCCATGTGATGCGTTATTGGATCTGGATGTCACATGGCGGTAAATTTATTTCATGTAAGTTGCTCTCCTCATTCTTTGGCCGAGAAAGCGAGTAACCCTTGAGAAAACATTAGTTACACTTAAGTTTCTTTAAATTTTAATCCGCATTCATGGACAAAGTTAGCTATTCACGGTTTTTTGAAGGTACATGGTACTATTATCAATTGATGGTCCTACATGCCCCTTAGATGTCATCAGATCATATCTGATCGTCAGATGGTGATAGATTTACGCCTAAAACTAAATCCTTCTTGAAACCTAAAACCAAAGAGTTCAACTTATCCGAAATTAGAAGTTCCAAATAATAATTATACACCTTAAACCAATCAACCATGTCAATAGATAGAATTAGAACCCCAACCCCCACACCCCCCCCCCCCCCCAAAAAAAAAAAAATAGTGGACATGAAATTTCCATCACCACCACCGAAAATTTGAAATTATCACCATAAAAGATATTGCATTTAAAAAAAATATTTCGACTATATTTCTATCATAAAAAAAATAAAAAAAATCATTTCTTAGGTAAATTTATGTCCTTCACAGTTGCTCATTGCTGATGACAGGAACTATCTCATATACAGCAGAACTCTCTCTAAATCTTTTAGGAAGAATGCAACGCCCGCCGAATCTCTGCTGCAGGAAGACAACGGCAGCGAACAGCATACCGCCGCAGGGGATGATGATGTTCCAGGCAGTGGAGTAAAAGTCCATTCTGTGATTTGCATAAATATTCGGAAGTTCAAGGAACCATGTACCGGTCCGAGCCCTGTATAGATCATATGCATGAGGCAGCAGACGGATTATGGTGGTTCCGAAGTAAAAGGCGGAGGCCAGAGTCTTTTCTCTTGAATTGAAGAATAAGTTGAACAATATCTGAGGGAGCAGAAAACCATCCAGGACAAAGCCGGCGTAAGAGCTGAGGTCCTCCCTGAGAGAGTGGTTGTCGTAAGCCAGATGGTGGAGACTAGACACTCGGTAAGCCATCCTGTGGTGGTGCCGGGGATTGCGGACTCTTAGAAAAGGCCTGTGTGATTTCAGGTAGGTGTACACAAACCAAACTATCAGTCCGCCAGCTATATACAATGGTAGAGTTGCATAAAGAACCTTCCTCTCAGAATCTCTCAAGCTCTTCTGGTTTCCATCGCCTTGTCTTGCGGACCACGTCAATTGGAGAAGACGTAGCAGCAAAAGCAGAGCTACCATCATTAACATCCTGACTATTACTTCATTCACTTGAAGCCATCCACCAGTGCCAAGAAAAGTATCCCGCTGGATGATGCCGTGGCTTGGCACAAACATTGCTTCAAAGTTGACCAGAAGCGGAATCACATATCCCAGAGTAAGAACAATAAGCATCACAATTGAAATGAATGGGAGAACATCTGGGTGCTTCTTCACGTGCAGGAGCTGCAATCCGATAAGGACACATGCGAGGGTGTTGGAAATGAGAACCATAATGATTTCCAAGTCGATTCTTGAAATGGATGCTGCAGCTTGGTTATAGTAAATTGAGTTCGATGAAAACTGAATAGGTTCAAAAAAGAGAGGGTCTAACTTTCCCCTAGTGCTTTCAATACTTCCCTTGACATTTTCACGATTCTTTGTATCCAACGGAGAAAACTGTACATTAATTCTAATAGCACAGTCTAACATGTCCTTTTGAATCAATGTCTGATTTTTCAATGGTACACGCCTGCATCCTATCATGCATAGGTTACCATAATCCCTATCATATATTCCTTCAGCGGATAGTTCTGCTTTAGATGGGAAAACATCATGACGAAAATCAAAATCAGCGAACCACAACCTATAGCTGACGTTCATTGGACTGCTATGGGTATGTTTTTTCTTCTGCTGCATTGGTGAGCCTGTTTGCGGCAAGTTATCCCAAAACCGGCGTCCAAAAGTTCGCTCATCGTCCACAAATAAAGGGGATGAATAACCATATGCTTGGCGTCCATCACTGTTTCTCACTGTCATGCCAAATTTCATGTCCAATGAAAACTCTGCAGGGTATTTCTTTCCTTTGCCTCTCCCAGCCATCTTTTCTGCACATGTATTTCTGATAGACTCGTTCTCAGAATAGTCATATTTGTAATCTAACAGTTTCATCAATATCCCGACAAACTGCGAAACCCAATTTTACCAAAGTAACCCGAGTCATTCACTTCTTTGTTGCTCCAGATTTGCCCCACAACAGTAGACCTATTTCTTAAAGACAATCTTGCTGGGAATCTCAAAGTCAATTTAGTCGAGCAATCTCCAACAAATGCATTAGTCAAAGACTCTGTAAAATTCAATATCCGGCACGCAACAACACAAAGACGATTCTCCTTTTCATTCCATGCCCCTTCAGCAATGAAAGTTGTTTTGGGATCAAAGGGAAATTTGATATTATGACCGCTAGTGTTCGAAAAACCCAACAACATCTGCATATTCCTCTCATCTGTACACCGAGTTACATGATAAACCAAGGAAGATGCAATTCCAGCATCCCCACCAACAGGATCACAATTCACACCCCCACATTCACTCCCATATTCCAATTCAAACGTTTCGCGAAAATTACCAATCAACATACACACACCCCGCTTCGGATTTCTCAGACTTAAATTCTCTCCGCCATCATCACCGCCCTGCAAACAACCATTCTCACTATCTTTCCCAGCTAACTTATATTCATAGCTAGTTCTCTGATATAAAGCCAACATGTTAAGAGCTTCGAAATAATTCGGATCCTTCTTCTCATCCAAACTCTCTAAAATCCCAGTGATTAAACTATCATAAATACTCGAACTTTTCGGATAATTAAGCTTAAGAACAGCGACAAAACGATTCCCAAAAAGTTGTGGCATACCTTCTCCAACCATACAAAGCTTCCTTGAAGATTCTGAGTAGTACCCACTGAGCCTAAAGCTCATCATTCCCTTCCGATACGCGTTTCTCGGATGATAAACCAACCGCAGATTACGGCGCGTAGAGTTGCCGTCGCCTACCTTGTAGAAGTCGCGAAGCCGCAGGACTGCCCGGACTTCGAAAATCCCTTCGGTTAGGGTTTTACGCACCTCGTTGGCAAAAAAGGAGAGAGTCCTCAGGTAATTGAAGCCGTTCAGGTTACCGAAAAGCTGATCGCCGCCGGAGAAGTAGCCGTTCCCGAAGCCAATGTCGGCGATGGAGAGGTTGGTGACGAACCATTTGGAGGGATCAGTGTCCGATTTGGGGACAATGGAATTGCAGTGCTTGGAGTATAGGGCATCGAATTTTGGGATTTGGGGTACAGAGGCGGAAGCTGTGGCGGCGAAATTGAGAAAGAAGAGGAAGAAGAAGGAGAATCGCATAACTGAAAGAACCCTAACCCTAGATTTGGGCAATGGAGCCGAAGATTGTGGTGAGAAATTGGACTCCATCGCTGAGAGAGCTGAAGGGGAAGAAACAGCCGAGAAGAAAGTTGCAATTTATATACTTTTCGTTCTCACTTTTTTTTTTTTTTTGAAAAATTAGAATCCCTATACTTTTTTCTATATTATTTAGATTAAACATCAGTTTCTTTTTAAAATTTGATTAAATTGTTTTGATCAATAATCATCTTTATTTTTTAAAATTAAAATAATTTTTGAATGTATTCTTTTATATGCATGATGCACTTTTTCTTATTTAATGAAAATATTAGTAATTAAACTATATTTTCTCTTCTTCCAAATATGTTTTTTCGATCATAGTTTTTTTTTGTTATGCAAACATTTAATATTATTTCTTTTTCCAAATGGTTTTTTCTTTTTCAAATAGTTGGTGATCAACATAAAAGCTTTGTGTAATTTTTTTTCAATATTTTTTTGTGAAATTATATTTTTTTTGCTGTTTTTTTAAGCATAGTTGTTGACAAATTATTATTAGGTATAATACATTACGTATATATTATTTGTGGGTACGTTTGAATTTACAAAAATCATTAATTGATACGTTTATTTGCAATTTTGGTACGTTTGATTTGATACAGATTGTTAATATTGGTACGTTATTTTTATTTTGGTACGTTTTATTTTGTACACATTGTGTATTGGTACGTTTATATTATTCTCAATCCTATTTTCTCTTAATGTACTAACCAAAAACTTATTTCGGTACGTCTGATTTTTGGGGATTTAAAAATATTTTAAACTATTTTGGAAAGAAAATATCTTAAACCGTAGATAATTATTGCTAAATTGTAGCATTATTGTGAAAATAAATTGAATCTAACCATTTTTCTTTTTTTACAATTATCTCTAACAGAGGTGAGTGTAATCAAAAGGCTAGATAAGAGGAAATTTGTTACAATATAATGTGCATATAGCACAAAATTACGACAAAAAAAAGTTTAATCAAATCACTAAAAGACATGGATGTTTGATCTAGAAAATTCAAAACTGAGGCGCCTATATCAAAAGATTTTTTTTTTGATTTCATAGTTCTTTTCTTCCTTGTCGGATTATGAGTTTTTATTTTTTATTTTTTTTATTTTTAATAAGATTGATGTTATCGACACATCTGTTTTTATTGTCTAATCTTATTATCTATATCTATTCTATATTATTAAGAGAACCCTCATTGTCAACATTTTCCCCTTTTTTCCTATTTTGCCCTCACTTTTGATACACACTATTGACAAAAAAGGAGGGCAAAATAGTAATTTTATACCCTTTGACAAAATGACAATTATATCCCTATTTTACCCTTTTTTTTATTTTTAAGAAAATGACAATCATATACTTATTTTTTCAATTTTACCCTCACTTTTGATACACAATATTTACATAATGAGGACAAAATAGGACAAAAAAGTTGACAAGGAGGCTTCTCTTAATAACACTTTTGATACACAATATTTACATAAGGAGGCCAAAATAGGAAAAAAAAGAGAAAAAAGTTGACAATGAGGCTTCTCTTAATAATAGTATAGAAAAAAATGCACTTATTAAGAGAAATTGTTCACACACAAAGTGTGTGCTTTTTGCTAATTTTAATAATGATTTTTCAAAGCTACGGTTTAATTGTGGTCGAAAGAGTGTATATGCTCTTTAACGCTCAGGTTCATATTCACTTACCGATAATTAACTAGACATGTTTGGAAATAACTAAAAGCATTGTTAGATTATTAAGACAAATTATTTTTGACATTGTTTGATAATAAAAAAAAGTTAAAAGTGTCGTTAAGTAATAAAAAATCATTTTCATGTTCTTCCATCAAACAACATTTCAAGTATTTTTTTTAAAAGAAAGTACTCACATTTGCACCAATAATATTTTTAATCTTTAATCTTTAATATTAGAAAGCCAGAAGAATATTTTAGTGTCTCAAAGCTTCACAAAAAAAAAAGGACTATAAAGCCCCACAAAAAAAAAATCTACAACTAGCTTCAAATAATAGAAACAAAATAGCTGGAATACTTTTGTCAAAAACAAAAAAGAAAAATATGTTAAACAAAAAGAGAATTAAAAATTAGAAAAAAGAAAAAAAGAAAAAGAAAAGAGAAGATAAAAACCCACGACCCCTTCTTCTCCCTTTTCGTCTCTCTACACACACACTACTCCCACGTTTTCCTCAATACAACCACTCCACTTCAGTTATTTTATTTTTTTATTCAAGGACAGTTTCATTAAAACTGTCACATCTCGGACTTGATTCTGCTGTAGCACGATATTGTCCGCTTTGGGTCCCGACCATGTCCTCACGGTTTTGTTTATGGGAACTCACACGAGAACTTCCCAGTGGGTCACCCATCCTGGGATTGCTCTCGTTGCGAACTCAGTTAACTTTGAAGTTCTGACGGAACCCGAAGCCAATGAACTCCCAAAAAGCCTCGTGCTAGGTAAAGATGATAATATACATATAAGGCTTACAAGATCCTCGCCCTTGAGCGACGTGGGATCTTACAATCCACCCTCTTAGGGGCTCGACGTCCTCATTGGCACACTTCCGGCCATGAATTGGCTCTGATACCAAATTGTCACATCCTGACCCGGGCTCCACCACATCTCGGGCCCTGACCACACCCTCACAATTTTGTTTATGGGAACTCACATGAGCAGAACTTCCCAATAGGTCACCCATCCTGGGAATGACCTGACTCATTCTCGCTTAACTTCAGAGTTTCTACAGAACCTGAAGCCAGCGAGCTCCCAAAAAGCTTCGTGCTAGGTAGAGATGAGAATATACATATAAGGCTTACAAGATCCTCATCCCAGGGCGATGTGGGATCTTACAAAAACCAACCAATCAACATAGGTTTTGCATCAGCTGAAGATTTTGCTTCCTTGGAAATCTAGCGGCAAGAAATTGTCCGTACGTTTTGGTTTATAAGTTCTTTATCATTTCAGTTTAAATTATTTCGTTTACTTTCTCAATTTTGCTTTCACTGCAGTTTTCAAACTGCTTTCAGTAATTGAGTAAAAAATAAAAAAGAAACCTAATACGTTTACAGTTAAAACTGTTATTCTGCAGTTGAAGGCTTGAACCGTGTAATGGGAGCAGTTTTGTGGAACGCAAACATGCATGAAAATAAAAGCAAACGTGGGATATGAAGCAGTTTTGCGGGAGGAGATGTGAATAAAACACAAAATAAAAGAATCTGAAGAGAACAAATTGAATTGTTTTGCTGGAGCCTCGGGGAGAAGATGAAATTGGCAAAAAACCAACAAGAACTAGTCCTTTGACAAAGTCGGTAACACAATTTCTGTTGTGGTTAATTTAGTTTTATTCCTTCTCCATAATTCTAATTTCTCAATTATTAATGTTTGTGTTTTATTCCTACCGCACGTTTAAAGTGAGCAAAGGATCACTCCACCCCTCAACGCATACAAAAAAGGGACACGAATTCACTTTCTTCTCCTACACTGACCAATCTCCTCCACGTGTTTTTTCAAAGTTTCTTCTAACTTTCCGTCAGATTGCTCCTGTCGTCCAGAATTATCTCAAACTAGTACGGATTCATCTTTCTCCGAACTGAGGATTCCTCTTTCTCCGAACTGATTTTCAGTTTACAGAGGGATATTAGAGAGTTGTAGACAACCAAATAGAAAAGGGAGAGAGAGAGTGTGCGTGTCCTTGCGAATGTCAAATATGTCCTTCCTGACAGATTCTAACAGATGCTACTATTCTCAAGCGTCAAAAGAAAGAAATTGAGGAGCTTTGAGCCAAATTGCAGGTTAATTATAAATATAGATCGCCTACATAAAATAAGGGAACTTAACTATTCCGCATATTTTAGGAATCTCATTCAAAAACGTTGGGCAGAGGACATCCTCAATCTGCAAAACACGTTATTGATATAAAATTATTTTCTAAATATATTCCGCATAAAATTATTTAATGATATAAAAAATGAAAAGAAAATGGAGCAAATTTAGTCTTCATATACTTACCATTTATTTGTCTCATTTCTTTAATAGATATAAAGCTCGCCAACACATGTGAGTTTCATTTTCATTAGATAGATGATACAAATGAATGATACAAATATATAATAAGAATTACATTTTTATTCATAGATATTCCGTCCACAACAAATAAAATCTCTAAATGCCAATGGCCACATTGTCATCCCCATTTCTTGTTGATCGAGAAGCCTTTGTTAAGTTTGATTCTCAAACACAATTTTATTTTTAAGGAAAACTAATGAAAATAGCTTGAAAACTTTGAGTTTTAACGATAATAACAAAATAAAGGGTAAAGTGAATAGTAACAGGTTTGACTTTTTAGTGTAAAAATGTGGTTTTTCGTTACAGTGAACAGTACTGTGGGCTTTTCATTAAAACTTTTTTTTTTATTGTGCTCGAAACGCGAGTGGTACATCACGTCACATTATATTGTGATTCGTGATGTATCATCCCGTAAAAATCTCTCATCAAACTTGGAAAATGATCCTCTCTGGATCCCTTCCTCCTAATCTACCAAGTCTGGGGATCTGAGCCATTGAAATTTGATCAAACGGCTACAAAAAGAGGCTCACTTTAAAAGTTATAATAATTTTAGCTGTTGGATCAAATTTCAATGGTTTGGATTCCCGGAATTGGTGAATTAGGAGGAAGGGATCCGACCCTTTCCCTCAAACACAATACAATTTTCGGGGTTGAAATAAATGGCATATCCTTTAGGGATTACACTCTGCGACTGGAGAGAGAGAGAGAGAGAGAGAGATTATCTTTGCATGGAAAAATGGTGCCATACACTTTATGACAGAGTCACATGCATTTGAGCAGAGGACAAAGAAAGAAAGAACTCGTCGATCTAATTCTGCTTCTACAAAACCCTAAACTTCAATAAACGAAGATCTGCATTTTCTCACTACAGTTTTTTGGCTTTGTAAAACAGAGATGAAAACTTGATCCTCCGCCAAATGGATAGAAACCTAAATCTTAAGATAGACATAAACCTAGATGTGCAGAAAAATTGAGGAATTATGTAGGTTATTTACTCTCTTTCTTCTTTTTTAACAACGAATATGAGGTACGCAAGGTTGATTTGAGATGTACGTGAAGATGCGAGGTGTATGCAGAAAGTGTGAAGAACGAGTGTAGTGTGAAAAAGTATGTAGAGTGTATTCAGCATGTGAAGTGTATTCAACAATATATCGGAGGTAAATGAAACAACCAAAACTACATATTAGCCATGATAAATACGTAAGGAATGAACGGTGTGGATATAATTCCAAATCACAAAATATTTTATTTGAATCCTAATAATATATTAAGAGTACATTATTTTATTTGTATCAGACATACATTAATTCTCTCTGCATACAAATCAAAGTAATAGCAAATGATTTGCAGGTAATGAGGAATGACGGGTTCATCTTGTCGGGATTATTTTTTTTATCTGTCTGTTCTTGGCAACCAAACAAATCTTAACAACTCCAACTCAATTCTTGCTTTTTATTTCACATATTTTGTAAGCAAGACATTATCATATAATATATGCAGACATATGAGGAGACATATGATGAGTTGTTTGATACAGCTTACTAGTCTACTTGCAGAGGGAGGCTAGGACTCTGCGAGGTGTAGTGCATGGATTCCGGGAGTGAAGGACGGCCATATTATCGAGCAGCAAAACATCACCTTTGCGCCAAGGGATGGCCACACTTTCATCTTCAAGAATTTTCTGGCAGTCGTAGATGACATCTGCAGCCAAGGGGCTGCCATCCCCGAAAGCGAGAGCCTTCTCAGGGTCACTATTTCTTGCATCATCTTTCCATCCTAAATATACTGCCATGATGTTGTTAAACCAAACCTTGCGCTGCCTTGTGCTGCTGTCACATTTGATGCCCGGGATCGGTCCCCTGATTGTTTTCACTCCGTCATCCAACCATTCCAACACATACCCCAGCTTAGCAGCCCTGCATATAATTCAAGATGCAGTTCCTATCATTACGTAGCCATACGTCTTAGCATAGTTTTTTTGTTTTGTTTCTCTGCAATTTGTTATCAGATCATATTGTTTAAAGCTTAAATACTTAGCAATAATAAACATTTTATACTACAAATAAATACCTCTGTTCAGCTATGTTCTTGTCTTCGGTCCCAAATGTGGACTTCCAGCCACGACCCATCGCAGAAGAAGGGTCGTAATCTTGGCCTAAAACCTTGGTATATATCAAGCCATGTTCCTCCAATTTTTGGACAAATTGCGGGTGCTTGTCTTTCATCCTCTCGTACACAATGTGGCTTAGAACAATGGGAGTTTCGCCCCCACTTACAGGCTCTATTTCACAGAAAAATAACAGCTTGGATGGGAACTCTGGATACTGAAACGACACTTCGTAAGACACCACAGTAGAAGGTTTATCTATAGTTATGCCCCCTAAATTATACCCCTAATTACATTTTTGTACCAAACTTCAATATGGAAGACAACCACTGCAACACTGAATTTTATTTCATTTTTCATTTCTTTTTATTTTACTTTAGTTTCTTAGTTTTATTTATTTTATAAAGATTCGGATCGAACTCCCGAGCTCAGCCTTAAGTTTAACATAAAAATGGAAACATAGCGTAACACTCACCAGAACCATTTCGTGGTGAAATGGAATCTTGTGGTCGGGCGGGGCCTCGTTGGCGGTGAAAACCCGACCCACGATCTTTGTCCGAGGAGCAGTTCCAACGTAAGGATTCTCTTCGTAGCCGAAGGCCTCCACGACGTCGTTGAAGTCCGAGGCTGTATTTACAGGAAACCCCCTGAAGAGTACGGCCCCGGATTTTAGGAGCTGGTCCTGTATGTACTGTTTGTTCGCTTGGATGGTTTCTGTGAGACGAGGAGTAGCAGCTGCTGCTGGAGTCGGAGTCGGAGATATAACTGCCGGGAATCGATTTCCGTCGTAAAGCTTTTGCTCTGGGATCTCCACCATTGTCAATGCCATGCTGTCTCCGTCTCTGTTGTTAGCTGCTGCTTCAAGAGTCTTCTTTGTAATTATTGTTGGTTTTTTTTTATTGGATGTGGATTGTCTGCCGTCCCATTTTTATACTATTATCATCTCCTACTGTTTTATATGGTCACGGTTAAGTTACGTTAACATTTTATATTCCTATTACTTTTTGTTTTATTATTTTTATAAAAAAATCAATATAAAATATTGACGTGGCTTAACTGTGACCACACAAACAGTAGGGGATGAAAAGAGTATATGGAAATGGGAGGGCAGACAATCCACCTCATTTTTTATTAACACACCCCACATGTTAAATACATCCCATTTAAAAATTGTAATACTAAACAACTTGTAACTCTAATATGAAATGAATATTCAAACCCTCTCTTACACAAAACCCTAAAAATACAAACAAGTTAATGAAAATATATCTTTTGATGAATGGAACAAAAAATCGAGTTCTGCTCCTCGTTCATTCATTGGTTTTCACATTAAAAAAATTATTTAAATAATGGAATAAAAATTTCTTTTTGCGAAGCCCTGCTCTAATTGGAATCCAAGAAATAGGAAGAAAACTAGAGAATGTTGAAAATTTTAAGATGTAATTAAATGTAATATTCTTGTGGCTGTTTGATGATGAAGAAATTCAATGTTTTTTTGGCTGGTTGGAACTGACATGACCTTATAAGAACATTTCCTACCATTTGTCCATCTGGCTTCTTAGAATCCAACATGATTGTTTAAGAAAATTTGACGGATGTTTATAAATCAAACGGCAAATGGAGATTTTATACAACAATTTAATTCATCTTTATTGTCTTTAAAATGTGGATTATTCTTTTGTTTGAAAGAGATGAAGAGGTTGATGTGTGGTTAATTAGTTGATGATGTGAGATGTGGGGTGTATGAGATATGAGGTGTGAGGTGTGAGGGTAGTATTGGAAAATACATGGGGTGTGTTAAGAAAAATTTTAATTTAAAAAGTAAATATAAAATGTATTAAATATGTGGAGTGCAATTAACAAATGTGAGATATTAATAAAACAAGCCGTCATTGTTTTGCTGCCATACTTTAATCGTTTGTGGTTTATATAATAGAACGAGGATCCTCTCCTGAGCAGTTCTTTAGGGATCCCTCAATCTTGTCCGTTCATTTTATATCGTGATGTCAGTTTTCGTTAGATACTATTCATATTTGAATTTTAAAATTTAAATTTTAAAGAATTTTTGACCGCACGATATACGATGAACGGACATGATTGCGGGATCTCTAGGATCCCTAGGGAACTGCTCAGGAGAGGATCCCGGTATTATATAATATTCATGTTAGGTACGATCGTGTAACATGGGACAGAGATTAATTATTGCTTCCAGATCAGACACAAAATTATGTAAATAGCAACCCTAGTTACCTTGGAGAAGACAACCCTTTTTTTAAAATTCCATTCATGTCCTCATACTTCCATTTTTACCCTTATTCGAAATAAATCTCTCTGCATACAAATCAAACTTTGATAGAAAAACTATTTGCAATTAAAGAGGAATGACGGGTTCATCTTGTGGGATTATCTTACACCTCCAGAAAAAAGGTTAAAAGGGGCAGAAAAGAAAGATACACAAAGCAATCATATAGGGTTCTTCTTACTTTTGCCTTTTTCTTGGCAACCAAACAAGTCCAAGTTCTAACACAACAACTCAACTCTTGCTTTTTATTTCACAAATTCTGTAAACAAGGCATACTATAATATAGATACATATGAGGACACATATGATTAGTTGTTTAATACAGCTGATTAGCTAGTCTACTTGCAGAGGGCGGCAAGGACTCTGCGAGGTGTAGTACATGGATTCCGGGAGTGAAGAATGGCCAAATTGTCCAGCAGCAAAACATCACCTTTGCGCCAAGGGATGGCCACACTTTCAACTTCAAGAATTTTCTGGCAGTCGTAGATGATATCCGCTGCCAACGGGCTGCCATCCCCGAATGTGACAACCTTCTCAGGGTCATTTCTTGCATCTCCTTTCCACTCTGTATATGCTATCACGATGCTGTTAAACCAAGTCTTGCGCTGCCCTGTGCTGCTGTCACATTTGATGCCCAGGATCGGTCCCTTGATTGTTTTCACTCCTCCATTATCCAACCATTCCAACCTAAACCCCTCCTTAGAAACCCTGCCAATATGTAGTCCTATCGTTATGTAACCGTCTTATCATAGTCATCTTTTCAGTATGTAGTAGTACAAATAAATACCTTTGTTCAACTATGTTCTTATCTTCGGTCGCAAATGTGGCCTTCCAGCCACGGCCTATCGCGGAAGAAGGGTCGTCGTGGTGGCCTATAATCTTGGTATATATCAATCCATGGTCCTCCAATTTTTGAACAAATTGCGGGTGTTTGTTTTTCATCCTCTCGTACACAATGTGGCTTAGAACAATGGGAGTTTCACCCCCACTTACAGGCTCTACTTCACAAAAGAATAACAGTTTGGATGGGTACTCTGGATACTGAACGACACGTCATAAGCATCACACAAGGAAAACAAATAAAAACAACACGTTCTGCAACTTGAAATAACGTTATACATATATAGGATGTTAATTAAAAAATAAATAAATATATACACACACACACATATAGAGGGTGTGTTTGAATGAAGAAATTCTACAAAATGGTTTAACTATTGTTATGATCCTGTATTATATATCTTATATGTGGTTCAATATCCTAATGAATAGGATTTTGAGTTTCTAACCTTAATTATAGTAATAATTTAGGACTCTTCCCCCTCTGGTTAGTTATAGAAAAGTAATGAAATGCACTATATAGTTGCCACTTACCAAAGCCATTTCGTGGTGAAATGGAATTTTGACATCTGGTGGGGCCTCGTTGGCGGTAAAAACCCGACCCACGATCTTGGTCCGAGGAGCAGTTCCAAGTTCCAACGTAAGGATTCTCTTCGTAGCCGAAGGCCTCCACGACGTCGTTGAAGTCCGAGGCCGTATTTACAGGAAACCCCCTGAAGAGTACGGCCCCCGATTTTCGGAGCTGGTCCTGTATGTACTGTTTGTTCGCTTGGATGGTTTCTGTGAGACGAGGGGTAGCAGCAGCAGCTGCTGCTGGAGCTGGAGTCGGAGTCGGAGTCGGAGATATAACTGCCGGGAATCGATTTCCGTCGTAAAGCTTTTGCTCTGGGATCTCCACCATTGTCAATGTCATGCTTTGCGTTTCACTCTGCCGACAGATCAGATTCAAATTATAACTCTCCCCTAAGAAATTTACATAACTAGCCACTCTTTCTACCCCTTTAATTATTCTCAGCCAACAATTTTCACTTCTTATAAATCTAACCGAAAGTCTGTGTGAAAGTTCAAGGCTACCCTTGAGTTAAAACACTAAAACAAAAAAAACAAAAAAAAACTTAACGCGCTGCTGCTACGCTCTGTCCCAACCACAACCACCGACTCACCCCGAATATATTCCCAACAGAATCCCAAATGAAAATGCAATCATATCCGTACATTGCCATAACGATTTTGACCTCGCCACGGCCAATGCAATAGCAGTATGCCATTACAATTATATACACAGATTAATTAAGTTCCTAGAGCAATATTAGAAAATATATAAAATAATAATATAATTCCAATGATAATGGTCATAAAGAAATTCACAACATCAATTATATATGAGATTAATATAAACAACTAGAGAGAAAATTAGAAAAAACTGACAAACTTGGAGATTGAGGCTTGCATAAATGCAATGTCCTAAAGACATAATTTCGTCCCTACTCTTGTGCTTGTAGTTCGGTAGGCGTCCGTCCCTCAGGATTCAACAATCTATAATCCGAAGTCAAAGCACTTCAATCTTCAGACTCTGGCGAACTTCATATATTCCGTACTCTCAAGACATGACTCGGATATTTACTAAGACATTGGAGAAAACTCTTATCTTTGGTCCATTAGATATGTGGGATGTTTGAGTTTATAAAGAACTCAAGCCACCCCTTTTGATGCATTGTGACTGTTGCCTAAAGTTCCAACAAACAAACGCAACTCATGAATTTGAATTCAACTATGACACATGACTCTTATTTTTCATTCATATAGAAATTAAATATTGTAATATTAATTATAATATATAATTTTCAACACCAATAAGATATACATATATTTAATTTTGATTAAGAAATATACAAATCTAATTTTGATAGGGTGCATATGCTGGTGCCAGACAACTTGAAGTCACAATCAATGGCATTGGTGAAGGGGCTGTAAATGCTTCTTTAGAGGAATTAAATCTCTATTTTAGTCACCAATGATAAGTATAGCTTATATTATGTAATTTAAGTAAGGAATTATCTAATCAATGTTCTAAATCCGTAGTTTAACAATAGTTTAACAATGAAATATGTCACAGTACTCTTCTTATACATGTTTGTATAGTTTGTGATAGCCATCAAATCTCGTGGTAACATATTTGGGGGACTTCACACATGAATATATACAATGCATATTGTATCTACCAACACGATGGTAATTCTTCTTTTGTTCTTTTTACTTTTCTTTGTTGTTTGTTCTCTAGAAAAAAGTTGTCATCATGCACTCCTCCGTAATGTTAAACTTAAAGAAGAGAAAAATTAAGGCGGGATGTTGTTTTTTAGAGTGCCAATACTAATTCAATTTCTGTAAGGTAAAACTTTTTACATGCAATAATAATTAGGTGGAAGAGTACAGTGAACCTTCTATACAACTACATAAGGCTATAGTTGGAGAGCCAACATCTTCTCGCATGCTAGTGGAGTTCACCAGGTTAATTTTAATTTGTAGTAAAAGATATATACAGTTATAGACAATGAATTATTTCATAAATATATGTATATATAAAGAGAAATCTCGTGTGTGTTTGTCTGTTTTTTTTTTTAGGATGGAGTTCTTAAAAGTAAGAGTACCTACGAGATTTTCGGCAGAAGATATTGGCTTTGTCCATTCTAATGAAACCGGCATCGTTCAATACTTGCGTTCGTCAAATTTTGACGAAAACATGGTCTGGTATACACCAATTGGAATAAAACAATTGATTGGAAATTTGAATTTTTTTTTTTTCTCTCTCGTTTTTGTTACAATGATCGTCATGCTTTGAAGTCTCGCCTCTTGCAGGTTTTTATTTTTATTTTTGTTGTCTAAAATTATTGGTAAATCTTTTTCTCATTAGTAATACTAATTAATTGGTTTTTTGGTATTATTATTCAGCTTGGTCATGATCTGGCAGAAAACAAATTTGGCGAGGTGCTTCGACATTTCAAGGCATTGGCTGAGACAAAGAAGGTAACAACCAATTAGTTAGACCTTAATTCCATCATCAACTCTCAATGGTTGATTGGTTTTGCACATTACAGTGTCTTACGAACGAGGACATAGAATCACTGGTTTGTCTGGAGGCCATCTAAATGCCTAGCTGCTAGAGAGAAAAATCCATTGTCCCCTACCTTATCGTCGACAATCCTTCATCGACTGGTTGTGGTTCTTTCACTCTCTCGAAGAGATTCTATGTGGAATAGTGATCGCTATCTTCCTCTGTAGACGACGAGAGCAACATTTGTTGGCATCTGTCAATGTTTGTTAGGTGGCTCATAGCAAGACTTCTTTGTTGAGGATGGTAAGATCACTAGAAGGAGATTGGTGCTTTCCATGTGGTAACTTTACGATAGTTCTTTGGCTTGCAGGGTTTAGTCTTCATGAGTGTTATTTTTATCTTTCGTATTGGTTCAATGTGAGTTCTCTGTGACTAATGAATTGTATAGTATTTATGATAAGTCTGTAATTGTAGAATTGTAGTGTTTCTTTTAGCATGTGTGGCGTTTTCTTCTTAGTTCAGGAATTTCCCATGTGGTTTTTTTCATCACAAAGTACCCTTTTCCAGGACAAACTTTTGGGGCCAAAATTCATGATCATCTAAAACGTTTACTGAACTAATGCATGTGAATCTATTCCCACAGAGCATGATATTTTAATTTTCTTATAGTGCAACTTAAAATTTTTGAAATTATAATGATTTTTGCATTTTTGTCTAATCAATTATTTAAATATTCATTAAATTGATGACATGATGAGTATAAGACTTGTAATTGAGTTGACTTGTAAGCCACATTTGCTATACATTGACTCAATAGCTTATCAATTTAATGGAGGATTGATGTTCAAATAAACAAAATGTGTAAATTGATACAATCTCAAACGTCATGATACAATTTGAGAAAATTGAAACCTCATGGTCCATTTTTCTTAAAAACAGGTAGTCTTGTTCACACATTCTTTTTACTTCTCACATACACTTATTAATTTTTACCCATTGATCTTTCATTCGATCCGCCGACCGGATTAAGAGGGGTATGTGAGAAGTAAATGAATATCTGGCTAGCACCACCCTTTAAAAATAATCTCAAACCTGTAAAATGCAGTGAGAAAATTGGTACTTCTTTTTCTTGGCAACCAACTTCCAACACAACACAACTCTTGTTTTTTATTTCACAAATTCTGTAAGCACGGCATACTATATTACTGATTCATCACATTCCAAATCTTAGAAACCCATTTTTTATACACATACAAACCACCATGGATTCTCTCTCTCTCTCTCTCTCTCTCTCTCTCTCTCCCCACCCCAATTTTCTTTTTGGGTAAACAACCAGACTATTTACATGAGCAATCTTACAGCAAACACACATTGAAAGCATATGGACTTATTTATATACATGACAGGAATATCTTCCCTGGGTACCTTTATATTACAATTTTGCACCATGTACATTTCTCCGGCCCCATGAACCGGTTGCAGTCAATTCCCTTGCTGGAAAATGCCTCAACCAATTTTGGAAGGAGCTTAGAGAGCATGATTTTGAATCCGGTAGAGCTTCCCTTACTGTGTTTATCTTCAGTTTTCAGGAAATCGATAGCACACCCTACTGGAGCCCCGTCCATATACTCCTTACAAGCCATTAGAATATTTTGGGAGCGCCGAGTGAAGTGTTCGATAACAAGCTCCTCAAAATGCTGCATCAACATTACTAAGTTACAATGTATACCAAACAAACATATTGCACTACTAATTAAAACAGAAAGGAAAACCTAATGAGAATCCAGAATCAAGCATTGTACCTTAGGTGGCTTTTGGAGTGTATACAGCATGGACTTGCATGTCATCAGGAATGCATTTTCGTTGTAGCTTACGGAGTTTTTCTCTCCCTGGGTTCTTCCTATCTGTTGATCATACCCAGCTTCATTGAAATATGGCTTGTCGTTAAGCACGAGGGCTTGAAGGGAGAGAAGAACTTGAAGAATGGTGGAGCTCCCTGGATTCCAAACTTCAGTGCCTGTGCCCGTCCATGTATTAAGGAGACTGAGACAGACCTTTCCGGACTCGTACAAGTTAGGGTTGACACGTAGCCCACCAGAACTATAGTGTACCATCTACATAAAATTTCAAGATTGACATGCTAAATTAGCACTCACGATGATAAACATCAATGTAAAATTTTACAACTGCACAACCACATGCAAGTACTTACAGGCGGTTCATGAGGATACTCCGGTGGAAGATAAATATCAAAGAAGAAAAGCCCATCATGATATGGAGTTCCAGGTGCACCAACAATGGCTGCTCGCAGTAGATCCATCCTTTCCTCGAAGGCGCGGACATAGATTTGTTCTGTTGATGGGTAAAGTTAAGTTAGTGTTGTTCTTCTAAAGATGGTTCAAAAGCACTTTGCATAAAAATATCCCTTGTGTTACCAATGAAAACCATTACAAATTAAACTTTAAAAACAGATGGAAGTGCTAACCAGGCAGATCTTTCTTGAAGATGCTCCACTCTTGTTGGACCTTTTTCATCCAGCCTCTTTTCACCTATTACGGAACCGAACAGATAAAAATCACGACTAACTCTGCTATACGAATATATGAAATGGTATGTTTATGGGAAATATTATCATGTTTCTAACCTGAGATAATGCCAACTCCTTGTTAGCACCATGAAAATGGTGGTCGGTGCAATCAGCAACTATGTCAAACTGCCTAAACTGATCTGCACTGTCATTAGCTTTTGAATGTGGAATGCTCTTCTCCTCAAACCTCTCCAGCTCAGTCGTTGACTGTTGCTCAGTAAAGAGGTCACAAGTTTCCGCTATTCCTTTCTCATGGGAAATCTCAGATTCATTTCCAACTTCAGAAATACAGGCTGATGACGAAGGACCTGAAAGTGGTGCAGACTCATGGGATCCCAAAAGACTCGCAGCTATGCTTGTGAAAAATCCAATGGCAGCTTGAGGAAGGAAAGAGGAACTAGACTCCCTTGTGTAATCTTTGCCACCATCATCCAAATTCAATGAATCCTGAACATAAAAATGTCATTTAGCTTGTTGCGAGGAAAATGCAGAAAATACAGGCTTCCTCCATGGAATTTCAGAGTTTATGGGAAGCAATAATGTCAAGTTTATTGAAAACCAAAACATCAAAACATTCCATAAACTTCATATACACCAAATGTTTCAAAAACACTTGGCATCCAATGAATTGAAAACTGAAAAAAGAAAACATAGAGTGAGAGAGAGATGGCTCTACCTTTCCCTTCTGGTTAGAAGGTTGCTTTGCATTTTGAATCATCTCTCGGTTCAAGTCTTCGATGTCATCTTCTGCAGGAATAGCAGCTGAACCCTCATGTTTGTCAAACCGGAAAATTTCATTAGGGGCCACCTGTAACAATGACCAACCAAAAAACTTAAACATGACATGACTATCAAAATTTAAGGGGAAACCAGAGTCAGCAGACAATCATCTTACACACAGAATGATGAATAAACAAACCAGTAAGGACAGCTTAATTTATACCTTGCCTGTAATACCAGTAGCCCATCTCACTTCCACAGCTCCATCCTTGAAGCCCATAACATTTCCAATGTGAGATAGGTAACATTTATCAGTGTAATCCTCTTGATCCCCACCACAGTCCTTGTCCTCAGAAGCAGCCTCCTCGCTCATGTCAATCTTTGTGAGCGGATAGTTTTTATCCGCTTGTTCATCAAACTGATTCTGGACCAACCTGAACACATAATCTCCAAAACAGTAGGAGTAATCTGGGTGCTCAGCTAGTTCATAAGCGCTCACAATTTCCTCCATCTGTTTTCCCTCGGAGTAATTTTGTTTAGGTGCAGGGATAGTGTTCCATTGCACCTTTACTGTATGCTCGTTTGCATCCACACCCTTCACGACACCCCATTTTTGGCTGCTAGACATGTGTGGATCATCGCAAGTGCCCTTTTCCAGGACAAACTGTTCAGGCCAAAATTCATGATCATTTACAACGCTGACTGGAACTAGTGTCTGTGAATCTAATCCCAAAGAGTGACTACCATCTTGCCACGCCACATCAACTTTGGTCCTTGTCTTTATGATAACAAAGATTTCATCGAATTTTGAATCTGCGTTTCTTCTCCTAAATCCTCTTCCTGATATCTTGGGTTTGTTATTCATCTCACAAGTAGATGCACTATGAAAATCCTGCTCCATGACAGCTTTATCGTCAGCAACTTGAAGCATACACCAGTCACCAAGCTGCCAGTTTACATGAGAGAAACATGACAACACATTCAACTTTTTCGGATCCAGCACACGTGGAGGAGCAGGCAATTTCGAATCACAACCCATGAGAACAGAGGCAAGCCAATCAACATACACCAAACCTCCTTCCACAGAACAAACAGTTCCCTCGACTTGATTTTCCCTCCAGTTACCGCATAACCATCTAGTTGATTTGGAAGCGGTTGAGAGTCTGACCTGCACTTTCTGTCCTGGATAATATGGGTACTGTGGATCTTCAAGTAGGTTTGGAGAAATGGGCAAGAGCTTCTCTTGATCAACAGCAGTGACCTCATACTCCGTTCCATCATCAAATACAACCATAACATGGTCAACCACTCTATGCACCCTTCCAAGCCATGGACCACAAACAACATAATCCCCCACCGAAATGGAGCGTATCTTTGATAGGTTATTGGAGTTAACATCTTTTATTATGTGTCCCTTAACACTCTCCAAATCAACGAACATATTAATCCCAACTACTCTGCCCATCTGCCCAGATGGATCTCTTTCGGAGCATACCATGTCTCCATATATGAATCCCCTCTCAAACGAGAGAAAATCGTCAATTTTCCCAATGGAAGCCTCCAGGCTGGACAAGATGCTGCCCGCATGCCCACCATAGAAAGATTCATTTTCATATTGATCCATACTACTACCACTCTCACTAAAACTCTCCCAATCCGAGTCACTGAGGATTGCATTCATCATTCAGATGCCTATGGGAAGATAACCGTACCTCTCAGTCCGATGTCAAAAATAAGAATAGAGGTATGTTTGCAAATCTATTTACGTTGATGCATGTGTACATGTACATATAAAACATGATTACAAGATAACACAAAATAAATCCAAAATCAAATGAATGAAAAGAGTACAGAGTCCGCGGTGCAGGATATCTCACCTCCACTGCAAAATGGGAACAGATAAAATTACAAGCCGTCTGAGAAACTTGGTTAATCTTCACTGAACTGCAAAACAAAGCATCTTTTTGAAATCAATTGCCATAGAAAGCACAAAAATCAGAACTAAGTACATTTTATTTCTGCAACTTAGGATTTGTTTGTAGTCTAACACAAACTAGAAATATGTTGGAAACAAACGATAAATGTAAATAGATAGTACAGTAGTAATGTCGATTGCATACCTTCCGGGACGGAATGAATCTTAACACCGTGACAATCTGAGCTTATCTTGAACTCCTACAGGGATGTGTCACGTGTGTAGTCTCCAAAGGATGAAATGATGATTATTGCCGCAACATCCTCTGTGATAAACAGATTTGCCGTACACTTTTCCAGTTGATATTAGATAGGGATATCTCCAGTAGGGTACTTTGACCACTAAAACTGGAGATCTAATGCCAAAGGAGATTTGCCCTATACAGGGAGGGATAACAGGACTCTACGAGGACTCCAAATGCCAAAGGAGATTTGCCCTACAAGGGTAACAGGAGTCAACAAAGGACTCCGAGTACCAAAGAAGATTTGCCCGATCGGTGGGGTGAACTTTTGACTACAACCAATTACCCAGAAGAACTTCAAAAGGGAGATTTTCTCAACTGCAGAACTGTCAATGGATTGCAACTGCCAGATGAGATCTTTCTCAGAGGTTGAGGTGAAGCTTGCCGAAATAGCGAGGAGAATGCCAAAGGAGATCTGCCCTAAAGAAACACTCGAGTTTGAGATAAATTGATGACAATTCAACAAAAGAAGCACTCTTCTCATCCACTACGAAAGGAAGTCAACCAACGAAAGGGAACTTCAGTAACTTTTGCCAAAGGAGATCTGCTCAACAGAGCTGAACTAGTTGATATAATATATATAGAGACATGCACACAGGAGATGTGTGCGTGTCTCTGGCCAAAGGAGATGTACCCCAAAAGGAAGTCGAAGTTTCTGTCAGGAATTATCTGCTGCCAAAGGAGGTTAGCCGAGCTGAACTAACCAACAGAATGCAGAAATGAGACCAACAAAGTTCAATCCACCCAACAGAAGTATGTCTTTACGCTTTGTTTACCGCAGTTCAGCCAAAAACTGCGTCATCTCTCAGACAGGTAGAACAACCTTCACCGAGAAAGATCTTGAGAGCTTCTATAAACAGTATGATACTTCAGCAACAACACTACCTTAATATCTGCAAAAACTCTTAAGAAATTTACAAAATAGCCACTTTTCAAGGCCAACAGTGATAAGAGCTTCTGTGAACCTGCAAGAGTCACCTTTCATTTTTAGTGTGAAAGTTAGAGGGGAAAAGGTTCGAGAATATGAGTAGATGCAGAAAACAGAATATGTTACTTTTAACTAATCGCTTTAGTTCCTCGTGCGTGAAAGAATGCCTCAAATTGTTAAAGATTTAGTATCTTTGTGAAACAACCAAACCAAAGCACTTTAGTATCGTATGGAAATTTTGCATCTTTAGCATGTGCTCTTTTTCTGGATGCGTATTGTTACTATTTTGTTTTTTGCTATCTTCTATAACCATTAACAAAAACCAGCAAAGCTTCATTTCCATTAGAGCAACTTTAGAAACAATAATTGAGAGATTAGCTGCTTCAGATTTGCATACCAATTGAGGATTTGAAAAAAGAGTTGGATTTTCGGTATCCAAAATCCATTTGAGGAGAATTTTGGAAACACAAGTAGGTTAAGGCTAGAAAAAGTGAGTGTGGTACCAATGTATTGAACTCATATAGGAATCACACTCCTACAATGCACCGGAAAATTTAGTGTGATACTGAGATCAATATATTGAATTCACACTAGTGTAGCAATAGTGTTATAGGTATCAAACTCAAGTTGTCTGATTCCTATATATAGACATCACACTCAAACTACTGTGGAATGCCCAAGGGAGATAAAAATTAAAACCAGAAAGAAGCTCTTACTCCAACTAAATCATTTGTGACAAGAATCAAACATCTTCCAACTAATAATTTCAAATTCTAGCACGAAATAAAAAAAGGATGCAAGCCATTTATAAATTATAATAACTACCAAAAAAACCATACTTTCTATAATTGAGACTTCAAATTGACATCCATACCATTTCTTCCAAACCTCACGTATCCAGAATTCCACATGCAACCCAAAAAGTATTAAATTTCCAGAGGAACCCATCAATTTCTGTATACAACTATTCACATGTCAACTTCCTTCTATCCCATTAACCATTTCTTCCAAAAAAAAATCACCAAAAGAAATCATGAAAAAACTGAATTGGTACACTAATCACTTCAAGAACTTCCAACCCAGAATTTTTCAATACCCAGTGAACTTAAAAGTCTAAAACTTTCTGAATATCCACTAAAAAAACAATCATATAATCAACAAAAACAAGTGTGTGCGGTGTACGTACCATTAGGAGCCTCTGAAAAGCAGGGGAAACCATGGCAAGAAAAAGTTACGAGTACAGCCAGTAATACTGAGAAAACATCAGAAAGCCATCAAAAGCTGACAAGAGAAAGTCGACCCAGGACACAATCCCTCGGAAGAATATCAGTCGTCTCATTTTCCGTCACTTTCTAGCACTTTCTTTCCCACGTTTTAGCTAGGAAGAGATGGGATTCCAGATACGGAGATGCTGCTGCTGCCCGGTTCGGACACATCCCTCGCGGCGTCGCCGAACCTCGAAACCATTGATGGGCACGGTGGATTGGCGCGCATGCAGAGACAGAGAACTTTTTTTCTTCTGAAATTTAGATTTTGGTGATGGCTCATTAATTTGGAGGGGTTGGAGTGCGGGTGGCAGCCAGTTGGATTATAAGACGTACGGCGAAAGAATATACCAACGGTATCGGACACAAATACTGTTGAAAGTACAACTAACTCACTGAACCTTTTTCTATCAAATTACCATTTTGCCCTTTTTTTGCTAGGAATGATTATGTATGGAACAAAGCTTGGTTGCTGAACAATTAGCGTTCCTGCTGAAAGCCAATGTGGCTTCTCCTTTCTTTGACACATGTTTAGTTCTTTTGTTTTTTTTACACAGAATTATCCAGCTTGAAAAGCTAATTGGACAAGTGTCAAGTTAGGAGCAGCATTAGCTTTAAGCAAGAACCGATGCTAATTGTTCAGCAACCAAACCTTGTTTATATGTAAGCCCTACATTCATCACAGACGAGGGTGCAGCCAGATTGGCTAGGCTCCCCCATATGCCCAAGTTCAATCCCTCTACTTCTATAGTTTAGATTATATATAAATAGTGCGGTTCACATAATAGTTACAAACATTAGTTGAAACACTTAGATAATTAAATTATAGAAAAAAATCCTTCTCGAAAATAAATTTTAATGTTGATTTTATAAAGGGAGATACACAAATGTAATAAGCATCAGAAGTACCTTTAGATGATGCAAAACACTTGTTTTGGTTTAATTTTAAAGAGGAGATAATATACTTTGGCAGCAGCCCATGTTTTTGGAATATTTTGTACAAAAAAGAAGAAGATTATATTCGATATGTTATGATTCGATCAGTATAATGGAGGGCTAATTAAGGCTTGACTAATGAAAAGAAAGGGTGAGAATTGAACTCTTGTCGCATGACTAATGTAAAGTGTGATGTTTTATTGTTTGCCGAAAAATGTGTAGTACTGGAATATCTCACATGCATACATCATGCATGGTATGTATAACTAATTCATGATTGTTAATACTATGCTCTGATGTAGTCGTTCACTCATAGTATATCACATGAATTCGTCAATTCACATAATAACCAAAGATGAACCATTTAAGAGTACAAAACTAAAAGGCTACGAACATGGTTCGGTCCTCTTCCAGGCAAAGTCTCGAAAAGATGAGCAAACTTTTAATGCCTTGCCGTAACAGCACTAGAAATTAGACATACAGAATGCTAAAAGTATATAGGCAATGGAAAATGACTAATTCCTAACTACCAGACCTTTATGTCCTCTACATAGTAAACTCTATATTTGCTTTCTCTGCGGCTACTTTCTCTAATCTTTTCGGGTGAATTATTTCAAACTGTCACATCCTTCTTGTGCTTTTTGATTTTTGTTTTTTGTTTTTTTTGTTTGTTTTTTTTTTTAATTTTATTTTTTTATGGAGAAATTATATTTGCATACTTGCATGGAATTTGTCTTTTGGTTGTTATGTATCTGCCCTAGATATTACTTCCGATTCATCCTAGTGTCCTCGGCGGCTCGTAAGGGACCAACCATGTTCTTTCGAGGTATAAAGATTTGCATTCATTGGTCCCTTTGTCGTAGGTTACCATTTAAAGTATATATACACATACATACATACATACATACATGAAGGCTCGAGCAATAACGGGTTAGTAAGTTAATATGACGTTAATAGCTTGTTGGATTAGTAAGTTAATATATATATACATACATACATGAATGCTCAAGCAATAATGGGTTAGTAAGTTAATATAACGTTAATAGCTCGTCAGTCCCACTTCGTAATAAAATTTCAAGATCCGAACTGTTTATTTTAAAGTGCAAAAAGTTAGTCAAATCAAACAAATCGACGAATACAATATTTTCTTATAAACTTGCAAAAAAATTCACAAGGACAATCAAACGGTAAAACGGTTTTCAATTTGAGTAATCTTTTGCACGAACGGTTTTCAAATGATGGTCTTTAAAATCTCATATCATGATATTTTGTTGGAAAATGAGCCCAAACGAGCAATTATAAGCCCCATAGTAACTTACTGACTAGTATATATATAAATATAATTTTTGTACACTCTTAATTCTATCATTTAATTTTCATTTATTTTATTCAATCCAAAAATTCAAAATTTACAAGAGTTCATATTTTTCAGCAAAATCATGTCAAAAAATCCGGTTAGTGCGTAATCATCTTATAATATAGACATATATGGTGGATCGTCTGGAAATGCATTGATGGTTTTAATTTGTATGTTGCGCATCTCATAGCTTTGATAATTTAAAAACCCTAGTAGTATATGCGCAGGAAGTGTAGTAGTACCCCATGGGATCAACAAGTTGAATATTATTGATTGATCACTCATGATAAATTCCCTCTGCACTTTTGTGTACATATATACATACATATATATATATATTAATTCAAATGCAATGTCATTTAGCACTACAACTCAAAAGAGCTAACTTGTATAGTAAATTACACCATCTCAGTAGCGTCTCAAGCTAATAATACAAAACCACATCATTACATGTTTTTATATTGCTAGCACAGAACGTCACCATAATGATGTACTTATATTATACAAGTCCTTCTTATAGTACTTAAAAAGGAAGAGACAACGGACTATGATTTAGCTCAAATATCTCATTCTTAATATAAATATATTATTATAGCAAAACAATACAACTTTAGACGAGGAGAAGACGGATCTAGGAGACGATTTTAGTTTTCAAACCTTGATTATTCGAGGGTGATGGTTTTGGAATAAAGTTGGTCCAGCAGTAGTGTATCCATACCGTTGAAGGTGGATGTAACATAATTTCCATCTTTTAAATATTTTAAGCCTTCAGAGACAAAAGCGGTGATGCAAGGATCACGTTCTTCCTTTCACTGAATGTGCGTTTCATAAAAAATATAAAATAAATAAATAAATAAAGGAAACACAAATAATAATCGAACTACATAAAATGAGTTGAAGTTTTATTATAAAATTAAAGGAAAACTAATGAAAATTGCTTGAAAACTTTGAGTTTTAACGATAAAGACAAAATAAAGGGTAAATTGAATAGTACCATGATTCACTTTTTAGTGTAAAAATGTGGTTTTTCGTTAAAGTGAACAGTACCAGAAGCTTTTCGTTAAAGTTCTCTAAAATTAATTAATCATATAGGAGTAGTTCAACTTCTTATAAGCCGTTATAAGATTGTTTCTTTCACCGATTTGAGATTATTTTACTTTCACATTCTCACATGCTCTCCACGTGTGTCGAATTTTCAACCCACACACGCAGGCAACACGAATTGAGTGACGTAAAGCACATGTGGCCGTTTAACTTCATATGTGAGAAACCTTTCTCTGGCCTTATAAAAAGGGTTAAAATTCATTGTAAAACTAATTGACCATATAAAGAGCAATTACGTATACTCATATTATGACACCATGCATGATTTCTTCATTTTGGTTATAGATGTGCAAACACATGCCCCCTCTATATATTAAACTGTCCCCTAGCACTACAATTGATATTATCCAAATCGAATGGTGTTTAGTCTTGAACATTTTGATTCGACTAACATGGATCAAAATCAATCGAGGAGATAAATTAGCATAGTTTATCATGAACACAAACTTGATATTATAATTAGTGGTCATTATTAGTCCAAGACAATCTTTAAGAAATTAAAGTTTAGGAAATATATTAAGCTAATAGTCGTCGGCCGGATCATATTCTGTTATAGTACAAAGACAGAGAGAATTAATTAACTAATGACATGCGTACGTTAATTTAAGATGGTATTAGTGGAGATTTATTTGGAGAATCCCTTATGCATGAGATGAAGTGGGGAAACTATTAAAGTGACAAAGAATTCCATTAGCATAATCATATTAAATTGAAAAGTGGGATACAAAAGTGCCTTAGGGAAAATGGCCAACTCTGTATACAAATATAGTAAGTAGTTGAAAGAGGATTTACAGGTGGCAAACAGAAAGTGCTTAATCCACTTAAAAAGCACTTTTATTCATGGAAGGGGGATATTCTCATATACTGTATACCTCTATAGCTGGTTCTTCTACCATCCGGACCAACATCAACACAAAAGATTAGACTTCACAGAAAAATAAATCATAGAAGTAGATTTGGTTGGGACTCTCTGGATCTCGCAGTTTGAAACTGATTAACTGCGTACTCTAGATCGTTCAAAATTGAAATCTAGACCTTTGATTTTTGTAAGATGGGCCAGTTAGATTGATTAATGGAGACCGTAATATTTAAAATGAGTGGTCAAATTTACTTGGTTCATCAGCTTCGGACTCGAGATTGAAAAAGAATCTCAATGCGGGGTTAGTTACCCAAATGACCTATTACAAACAATCTCCAGCTGTCCCCCTTAGGCGTTATTGCTTCTTCCACTCCCTCTTACTGAACACGTTTACAATTGCTATGTGCTTACTTAAAATTAGATCTCAATTATCAATTCGAATCATGGGTTATAAATTGAGATGTTCTCTTGTAGAGTTGAGATCTAATTTTAAATAAACATGCAAAATAATATGAGAAATTTCGTAGATGACAAATCATAAGTTACAGTCTCATAAATTATGACAAATTATGAGATCATATTTTATTGATAACGACATATCATAAGTTTACATCTCATAAACAGAAGGGAAAACCGGAAAAGAGAAAGAAAACCAAATTCTTACAGGCTACAAACTATTATGGTGGTGGGATTTAACGTAACTGGCATGCACAGGAATGCATTTTGAAAAGATCGTGGGACCTTAGACAAAGAAGTGGTATAATGACCAAAAGTGATGGGTATCATCCTGATCAAGTTTTGGGTCAACGAAACAGATATGTATATGTATATGTCTATGTGTGTGTGTGTTTTTTGTGAGAATTGCCATGTAATATATTTTAACGATCTGAACTGTCTGTCTTTTAGAACATTATTTATTTATCATCATTGAAAAAATTAGAGAAATCCAAAATCATGTCTGTCTTTTAGAATATGATTCATATATTATCATTGGAAAAAATTAGAGAAATCCAAAACCATTAAGACATACATTTTTAGTGACATTCATTTGTAGTGA